CTTGGTTTAAATGTTGGGCTGCTAACTGCAAGTTCAGTGGTTCAAACCTACCAGCCACGCTGCAGGAAAAAGTTGAAACCTGCTGCTCCTATAAAGATTTATAGTCTTGGAGATTATATATGGTCACCATGAGTTAAAATCTACTTGAAGGAAATGGGTTTTAATGGTGATTTCATGTGAAAATGTAGTATTGTACCGGTCCCAGGCAGTAAGTCAGACTAACTTATGCGGACATCTTGTGTACACATAAAACAAAGACTCACTTATAACAATTAGTATTATGTTAGCCACATTTTACACAGTTTTGTTTTAATATAGTACCCTTTTCATCTTAAAAATTCTTTTCTTGCAGCATCATGGGAAAATCAAGAAAACTAACTTTCTGAAGAAACATGAAAAGGTATTTACATTTTTTTCTCTAATCGGAAACATTATAACTATGGTTAATAAATGTATAATTGCATCAGTCATTTGGATATTAAAACTTACTTATTTTGATATGATGCCTTTATTCTGTTATAATAGCTTTTTGTTATGCTTAGTACTGAGATAGAAGCACATTCCACTGAGCTGGTGTTGGAGATAAGACTGAATTAACACTCAGCATTCTCTCCTCAGCCATAGTCCTGTTCCCCACCACAACTTTTATCGTGGTGTAGTTGTAATTTTTCTGATAAAATCTCCATATCTTTCCATTATCCTATGCTTCTGTCTTAATTTTTCTCAATTTATCGCAACACTTAGTTTTGACTCCATTTTACTCCCTTTGAACTTTATTTTATTAGATTTGTTTCTTCCATTCTTTGTTCTTAATGGTTTTCATAGTCTTTCAGTAGAGGCCAGTTTGCATTTATAGCACAAAATGATTCCAGTGCGGAAAACAAATGTAATGTGCTCCACACATCACTAGAACACTTAGATTTTTAAGTTGAGATTGTGTTTTTTAGGCATTAATTAAAAACAAAAGCAGAAATCTGAAGCGTATCAGCAGCTTCCTAAACACGTTTGTCACTGATTGCCTCCCTTACGATTCCCAGCACTTGGGCATGTGGGTATTTTTACTGATGTCGTCACTTTGGACTGTGCTCCACGTGCTAGTGAGGGCAAGACACTCAGTGTTCCACCTTAATGTCACAGCACCGACCCTTATTTTGTGTGCTCCTCTTACCATGTTTCTTCTCACACCGGTTCATTGCTCTCTAACAAGCCTAAGTGTTAGGGATAGAAAGGTGCATAAGGCATTTTCCACTTTATAGAC